ATGGGTGTGTCCACTCCTTTATTCATACTGACAAGCACATCAATCTAGCTTGTTTGACAGGTACACAAAACCTCATTGAATCACCTATTCCGTTTGATCTGCGGTTTCTCAATCATTGATCTGGATGCCCTGCATTTGGATGAAGAATTGCTTTTGGTTCTGAAGTTGTCTACTGAGCTGAGGAGCCTACGACGAGAATTACTCAAAGGTTTTCATACAAAGTTCCACAATAATGTGGATCCAGATACCCAAGGTTGTCGCACATGCTATGATCAACCTGAGGATTCCAAGTGTGTCAGGTATTGGACGGTTGAGCCTGGTCATCACTTTGAATTCCATGGAAAGGTCATCACACCTATCAGGCCAATGATCCAGATCGACTTCCTTCCATAGGCAAGGTAAGTATCTTGATGTTGATGTTTTATGTCTGCCTTTAACTCTTTCATATGTAGGGCTGTGCATCCAAACCAACTATGTTCCTCTATGACCTGGGTCTGAGAAAGATCTCACGCCGTGCAGATGTACTGGAACGTTGTGGTCGGGACGTGACCCTGTTGGTTGATATCAGCTCACCCAGTACCATATTGGCGGGAGTTTCTTTTGACACATTTTCTCATGTGGACCTTCAGAAGATCCGTTGCGATGCCTCTGCTGCAAAGGAAACCAAATCCATCAAACGTGGCAGCCAGTTCAGCCGATTTGAATGGGGTAGGATGCATCCAGTTGGTTCCAGGAAGCCCGCTGGGGGAAGACCTGGAGACACCTATACGAGCTATGCCGGTATGGAGGTTACAGATACAGCCCCATATTAAGTTGCTCTTTGCTCATGCCACTGTATGTTCTTAATGTCTTTCAATCTTTATTCCCAAATGACCCCTGAAATCCTAGGATGTAGAAAGGATGGTGGCTGCAATCACACCGTTACATCCTCATGCAGCCAAGGAGCTTCGAGAGTTGTCTTCTGAAGTCAATTCTTTGGGGGGCATAGGCGCAACTGCATATTACTGTTGGAACTTTGTGGCACCGCAGCATATGGACCGTGATGCCACTTGGACCATATCCCTGCAGACCTGCAAAGAGGCACCAGCAGATGAGTTCAACTTCGTCATGATGGACCTTGGCTGCTATGTGGAAACAGCTGAAAATGCCCTGTGGTAAGTAAGTCCAGACAGCTGGAGTTGAGTTACTACTCAAGAACATCAGGTGGTTTCAAGGTTATCACACACATGGCACAGTAATTCCCCGGTTATCATCCATGTTATCCAACAGAAATTTATCACAAGGAATAGGAGTTACTTTACCCAGAACTTCATTGCAGGCTGCCCAAAAACAAAGCTTGGCACGTGCCGCATTTGAAGCCTTGGCTCAAAAATGGCATGTAGATAATTGAAACACTTCATCATTACTGTACAACAACACACAATGGCTGTATGATTTTACTTTGGTCTTATAAGGAGGTCATAAGCTTTGTCTGCCATCAAATATGAAGTGGATTTATCGATAAATCTAGTGATAAGTTAACATGTGGCGTATGACATTATTTGACTCTATATTTGACTTTATGAAGTACCACCCTGTTATTAGTTTTCTGATTTATCCTCGCAATAGAGGTGATGACAGAAAAAGTAACAGAAGTGGAAATTGGAACGGTGACATAATTGAGACATAAGTGGCAGCAGAAACGTTGACAGAAGTGGTGACAGAAACGGTGACAGAAACGGTGACAGAAATGGTGACAGATAGCACTACTTATATAAGCGAACCTGCGAGTTGAATCTTTTCTCTTTCAAATTTCACTGTTTCTTTCATTGACACTTACACCATCGTTGTCTTCTTTGATTGCTGTCCAGTGTATCCTGTCCTTTTGGGGCTCTGCTAGGCCCTTTTTGTGTATTTGAATTTGTTCTTCTTTCATGCCCATCATAACTGTGCCTTCCTGGGTGTTTGAACTAGAGTTTTGGATATGTCAGATACATGGTTTGCCAAACTGAATACAACCGTTTGAATCTTCCTTCGCAGTGCACGACGGACCGTTGATTATCAAGGAGATCATCCGAGTAGTTGTATTTTTGTCCAGTGCGGACCTCCATAAGTACTTGTGTTGCACGTCAAATTTTTGCCAGCTCGGCGTTTATAAATTAATTCGTAATAACCAAATGTGTCACGTTTGGTCACATTGCAAATGAAATCTCGGTATCTGGCCTAGAATAAAAGTTGCGCAATAGACGCATAATTTGATGAACAATCCAAAGGAGCCCTCTGAGTACACTGGTTTGTTCCGTAGTCCAAGTCTTAGGCCTGATTCATTCAACCCAAACAAAGTAAAATTTAGCAGTTACTGCGCTCTGGGGCCTGCAACACTCAGTTTTATCATATCTGCGGACCATCCAAAATATTTGCATTCAAGTAATACAGAGGTTGTAGTCAAGTACACCCCAGTGTAAACATCTTTCCCAATATCATACACTCCTGGCTACTCCACCTAAGATTCACATGATCGCCATCTTGTGGGGACCATAATATCTGACAGTGCTATCCACCAAGGGAGTGTCATATCCAAAACCCAAGTTTAAACATCTTTCCCAATGAGATACTCCAGGCTACCCCACCTAAGATTCACATGATCACCATCTTGTGGGGACCATGCTATCTGACAGTGCTATTGCCCAAGGGAGTGTCATATCCAAAGCCCAAGTGTAAACATCTTTCCCAATATCAGACACTCCAGGCTACCCCACCTAAGATTCACATGATCGCCATCTTGTGGGGACCATGATATCTGACAGTGCTATCACCCAAGGGAGTGTTATATCCAAAACTCTAGCTCAAACACCCATCCATACACCCAATATCTGCCCATATTGCCCAACATGAGATACTCCAGGCCACCCCACTGGAGAATTACTCAAAGCCATATTTTAAATACCCAACATTAGATATATCACATTCAACATACCCCAGGAAAGGCCTCATAGAGGAGACAGAGCCAAACTAACAATACCCCAGGACAGGCCTCATAGAGGCACCATCCCAGGAGGAGTCCAGCCAGCCTCATAGAGGCACAGTACAGTGGACAGGAAGACACAGTCAAGCTAACAATACCCCAGGACAGGCCTCATGGAGGCACCATCCCAGGAGGAGTCCAACCAGCCTCATAGAGGCGCAGTTCAGTAGACAGGAAGACAGAGCCAGATCAACAATACCCCAGAACAGGCCTCATAGAGGCACCATCCTAAGAGGAGTCCAACCAGCCTCATAGAGGCGCAGTTCAGTGGACAGGGAGACAGAGCCAGACCAACAATACCCCAGGACAGGCCTCATAGAGGCACCATCCCAGGAGGAGTCCAACCAGCCTCATAGAGGCGCAGTTCAGTAGACAGGAAGACAGAGCCAGATCAACAATACCCCAGAACAGGCCTCATAGAGGCACCATCCTAAGAGGAGTCCAACCAGCCTCATAGAGGCGCAGTTCAGTGGACAGGGAGACAGAGCCAGACCAACAATACCCCAGGACAGGCCTCATAGAGGCACCATCCCAGGAGGAGTCCAACCAGCCTCATAGAGGCGCAGTTCAGTGGACAGGGAGACAGAGCCAGACCAACAATACCCCAGGACAGGCCTCATAGAGGCACCATCCCAGGAGGAGTCCAACCAGCCTCATAGAGGCACAGTTCATTGGACAGGGAGATAGAGCCAAACTAACAATACCCCAGGACAGGCCTCATAGAGGCACCATCCCAGGAGGAGTCCAACCAGCCTCATAGAAGGCGCAGTTCAGTGGACAGGGAGACAGAGCCATGACCAACAATACCCCAGGACAGGCCTCATAGAGGCACCATCCCAGGAGGAGTCCAACCAGCCTCATAGAGGCACAGTTCATTGGACAGGGAGATAGAGCCAAACTAACAATACCCCAGGACAGGCCTCATAGAGGCACCATCCCAGGAGGAGTCCAACCAGCCTCATAGAGGCGCAGTTCAGTGGACAGGGAGACAGAGCCATGCCAACAATACCCCAGGACAGGCCTCATAGAGGCGCCATCCCAAGAGGAGTCCAACCAGCCTCATAGAGACATAGTTATACTGGACAAGAAAGGGAAGAAGAAGACCACATCCAAGGTCCCAGGCCAGGCCTCATAGAGACACCAACACAGGGAAGTCCAACCAGCCTCATAGAGACATGGTGATACTGGACAAGAAGAATAGATATAATATTCTAGACACAAATCAGAGAAAAGAAGAACTTTGTCAAGTAAGTGAAAGTAAAAGAAGAGAACGGACAGAGAAAAGATTTGGTTCAAGTTCGCTTTTCTTTGCTTATGTCGGCAGTGCCAAACAAAGCCACACATTATTACAATTTTCTCATTTTCGTCTATATCAATGGTGACAAACCACAGCTCATACTCCCAAAAACTGAATCTTTGACTTACTAAACATGCGCAGCGACTGTAAACACAGATCAATGAATTCATGGATGAATCAAGGAGAGAAAAAATCGCACCATTGCGAGATGTTCAAAGTGATCCAAGCCAAGACCAAGACCAAATTCCCAAACACGAATCCTTCGACCAACTCTCGATAAAGGTGCCCTTTCCACGTTGTCGAGTCTTCCGCTCCAACCGCACGATCTTTTTGTTAGTGTCCGCTCTGTGTTCTGCACAGAGTCGCTTCAGGATGATGTCCCAACTCAATCCGGGACATCCGATCATGAGTTTGAGCATGTACTACTCCCCCATAGCTTCAATACCACAATCAGCAGTCTGCATCATGACCATACCGCAGTTGATCCGGAAGATCGTTTTTGTTCCTGGACTAAGGCAAACTGTCAAAGCCGTAGCGATTTGCTTCTTTGTAGACCATGGGAATACATCTTTTCCAATCATGATTGCATAACCTGAGACAGACCATCCATGGTCGGGTGAACTCACGAAGTCAGAATCGCAATGTGCGAAAAAGACCGGAGAGTCAAGCTTTCCGCCAACAGTGAGGACAAAGTCTCGAGTGCCTTTGAGGTAACATAGAATGCATTTAACAATTGGGCAACATTTTGGACTGCGAGTGAGATATCCGGACGAGTCATGACGGCGCAGTAGTTGAGTGCACTGATGGCATTCTGATATGGCACCTTCAGCATATATTGTGTTTCCTCAAAAGATGTTGGGCAGTCTGCGAGACGAAGATTGACACCGGACACAGCAGGAGTACGAACAGAGTTTGCATGCTCGAGACTGTAAATGTAAATGTTGAGCATGGAGTCAATGTAGCGACGGTGTGAGAAGGAGATTGTACGAGCAGAGCGATCGCGGATGACCTCGATACCAAGGATGTGAGAAATCTCCCCCTGGTCCTTGAACGAGACGTGTTAACTAACTTCATCTTTCAGAGAGTGAAGTTCTGAGATGGACGAGCAGTATATGTCAGGATCCTCAACATGGGAAGCAATGATGGAGATGCCAGTTGACCGGGAGCGATAGAAGAAACATGGATTGGCAAGGCTTACTTGAACACCAAGCTGGGTTAGGATGGACTTCAGCATTCAGAGGACAACTTGGAGACTTGGGTCTGCGTGATATCAATTGGAACATGGATGGAATCTTGGGCACTTGAGACAATCAAAGCGTCACAGCCGTACTGACTAGCATTGACGATGATGACCGGTCCTTCTCTGCAGCTTTTCGCAGGTCAGAAAACAGCGGGGGTAGGAGAAACCGAGAAAAGGCAGACATCATGCAGATGCGGGAGACGACATCATCCCATTGCATGGTCAGCTGCTGGATGTCTAGGGACTGGTCTTCGGTGGATTTATCGAATGCGCTGCAAAGGCGAAAACTTAGCTGCTGTAACTCTTTCGCCAGGGCTGCGCCCGTGTCACTAGACAGTGAAAGTTCGTCGAGTGGTAAGCGTAAGCGTGTCAGCCGGGTCCGAAATACTGCACGGCCTTGCTCCACCAGTTCGACAGCAGTCGTCAGTGCGCCGCGACGAACACTGCACGAGAAAGCGTCTGTGGCAACCGAGGAAGTAGCCATCCTGACGATATCGAAATGGCGTAAAGAAGGTGATAACAGAGTCACATGCTGATCTAGGAATTTCAATGCAGTTTGACAGGCAACCAATACGGAGTCATAGTTCGTCTCTTCGGCAAAGGTGGCCCAGACGAGACAGATGTGGTGACAATAATGACCAGGGGGACAACTCCGCAAGGCCACTCGACACTTTTCCACGCTGTCTGCCATGCTATTTCGCCAAATCAAGTTACCTAAGGACTGTTGAGAATGGAGGGATGGGGAGCACAACTGGGCAAGGACTTGGACGATGTTGTCATGTTATTTGCTTCGTCATCAGTACCAAATACAAGACGATCAGTTTGAATATCGATGCGCACGCACATAGTATACCGAAAACATACCTTGGCAGATCTAAAATCTGTACGAGAGGCTGGATGTGATAGGTAGGGTAGTTGCTCAAACAGCCTAAATGATTCCTCCAGGTCAGACAGGACACCACGTTGCTTGAATCTGTCTCGAAGGCTGATGGCAAGAGTAGTGAGAGACGCTGATCGCTAAGAATGACTGGGGGAGCGAAGAAGTAATGCAGCCCGAAGGAGCTCGATGGTCTCATCAAGGTCAGATGAGATACCCCGCTGCTTGAATCTGTCTTTAGAGCTGGGTGCAAGATTGTTGAGAGATGATGATCTGTCGGAATGACCAGGGGGACGAAAGAGCAATGCAACCCATTGGAGCTTGATGGCCTCATCGAGGTCAGACGGGACGCCCCGTTGCTCGAATCTGTGATGAAGGGTGGCGGCAAGATTGCCGAGAGACATTGCCTGATCAGAATGACCGGGTGGATGGAGGAGTAGTGCATCCCGGTGGAGCCCGATGGCTTCATTGAGGTCAGACGGGATGCTCCGCTGCTCAAATCTGACTTGAAGAATAATGGAAAGATTGTTGAGAGGTTTGCTTTGATCCGAATGTCCAAGAGGATAGAGGGGTAGTGCATCCCGCTGGAGCTCAATGACCTCATCAAGGTCAGACGGGACGTCCCGCTGTCGAAATCTAATTGTAAGGCTGATGGCAAGAGCATTGAGCAACCCGGATCGATTAGAATGATGGGTGGGGTGAAGGAGTAACACAGCCCGAAGACGCTCAATGGCCTCATCACGATCAGATGTAATGCCTCGCTGCTCGAATCTCTGTTGCATGCAGCTGGCAAGATCGTTGAGATACATTGATTGATCGGAATGACCGGGAGGGCGAAGGAGTATTACATCCCGAAGAAGCTTGATGGCCTCATCCAGATCAGACAGAACGCCCCGCTGCTTGAATCTATTCATGAGGCTTCCAGCAAGATTTTTGAGAGGCCTGCAGCGATTAAAATGACCAGGGGAAGGAAGGCTAGTACATCCCAAAGGAGCTCGATGGCCTCATCAAGGTCAGATTGGATGCTCTGCTGCTTGAATCTGCATATAAGGCTGATGGCAAGATCACTTGGAGACCTTGCTCGAATAGAATGACTGGGGGGATGAGGAGTAGTGCAGCCCGATGAAGCTCGATGGCTTCATCAAGATCAGATGGGACGCCCTGCTGCTTAAATCTGTGATAAAGGCTGCCTGCAAGATTGTTGAGAGACGTTGATCAAAGAGGATGACCGAGAGGACGAAGGAGTAGTGCATCCCAAAGGAGCGCGATGGACTCATCAAGGTCAGACAGATTGCCCTGCTGCTGGAATCTATCCCCATTGTCATTGACAGTGACAAGTCACCCATCTTTTTGCACCAATATCAGTGGCACTCATGGACCCTCACTTATGATCACTTATGACTAGCACACACCCGTTGTGCCTTCGGCACAGGTCGCAAAAAAAGAGCGCGAAGCGCTCTTTTTAAGCTCCCTGGCCTCAGCTTCCTCCCAATAATTCAGAAGGCTCCTGATGAGCATTGTTCCTTTGTCACAGGAAGCCAAGGAGGGCACAGCCCTCCTTTGGCTTCCTGGCCTCAGGCTCCATTCTAATAAACTGTGCATCTTGAATAATTTTGAAAATACATTTATGAGCATTTCAAAACAAAACTAAAAGTAAAATCTACCACACCATGTGAAAGTACATAGTACATAAGATCAGTCAGTTCTACATTCTTTGAGCAGGATTTTGACAAAAGTAAAATTACAAAATATGTAACAGTGTTATTGAATGCATTTATTTTCCCATTTTCCCTGCTTCCCATCTCCGATTGTGTCCTGTGTCCCATGCTCCCGTCTCCTGTCTCCTGTCTCCTGTCTCCTGTCTCCTGTCTCCTGTCTCCTGTCTCCTGTCTCCTGTCTCCTGTCTCCTGTCTCCTGTCTCCTGTCTCCTGTCTCCCGTCTCCCGTCTCCCGTCTCCCGTCTCCCGTCTCCCGTCTCCCGTCTCCCGTCTCCCGTCTCCCGTCTCCCGTCTCCCGTCTCCCGTCTCCCGTCTCCCGTCTCCCGTCTCCCGTCTCCTGTCTCCCGTCTCCTGTCTCCCGTCTCCCGTCTCCCGTCTCCCGTCTCCCGTCTCCTGTCTCCTGTCTCCTGTCTCCCAGTATCCCATTTTTCCATCCTCCCTTCCTCCCATCTCCTGTTCTCCCATTTCCCATTCTCCCTGTTTCCTGTTCCCAATTTTCTGTCCTCCCATTCTTCAGTTTTTGAGTTTCTATTTGAGTTTCTATATTATCAATGTTTCCTTTTGATTTATTTTTTCACAACCTTTTGTCATTCATTTCCTGTCACCACATGTATTTGTTGTTCCATTTTAGTTTTATTATTTACTGTATGTATGTACCCTAAACAATTACAATAGGGAGAATCCTGCGTAGTGTGCTGCTGTAATGAGCAACGGCAGTTCAGTCGGCGCTCGAAAACACGTGACAAAGCCACGCGAGTTTCCAAAAAGAGCTTTAAGCGAGGTAAGCGAAAGCCATGTGGCCTTAAGCGAATCTAAGCGAATCTAAGCGTATCTAGGCGAAAACCACATGGCCCTACGCGAAAACCACGCGAGCGCCCGTGCGTTCCCGAAAACCGTTCTCCCTTTCTTCTTAAGATTGCCAAAGCAACTGGAATGACGGCATATTGATCCATGGGTATGCATTATTTCAAAGTGCCGCACATCAGTAAAAGGACACGTTACTTAATCAACTTGGCTGACTTTGCCAGAAATTGTTTACTCTCTCCTGCTGCCTGCATCATCCACTTGGGATATCTTATTTTTTTTAGTGCGAACCACAACAAAATATGTATATAAGACTAGCTCAACAATTTTTTGTGAACATGTTAAAGTTGAAATTTTGACCAAGTAGATTGACTTAGCCAAAGTCACTTAAGTGGGTTTTAAGTCTGTTTAAGGCAGCTTAAGTAACGTGTTTTTTTACTGATGCAGAAGTCCGCACAGGAAGTAAACCCTAAACTGCCGGATTTCCTCCGCTATAACTGCCACCAGCCTGAAACTACTCAAACCTCACCCAACGCAGCACGACCAGCTCACAAGATTGGCATGACGCGCGCAGTGTCTCCAGAGCGCAAGAGAGAGTACAACCGTAGATATGAGCGCAAACTGCCACCCGAGGCCAAACAGAAACGTCGAGATGCCCAAGCTGCTTGCAAACGAAAATTACGTCAGCACAGGAGCACTGCCCGGGCACTGGCAGAACCACCCCAGCCAGCAAATACTTTGGCCGCAACTGGAATACTCTCACCTGCATTTTCCTGGACACCTCCAGTCCAGGATAAAACAGCAGATGGGATCCATTCACAAACCCACAATTTTCCCCAGCATGCAGTGGCATCAGCAAATGATCCAGGAATGAGGGGACTCGATCTGGCCTCAGGTATGCTGGGCACACAGGTTCCCCTGGAGACGGAGGTAGTGACATGGGATGATGGTCATATCACCATATTGCCCACTATAATGCGAGATGGACAAAATGTATTGATCGAAGACCTTCGCCTCACAAAGAAACTTGCGGCAGTTCCTGCCTCCAAACCAGGGTCCAAATTTGTGACCCATCTAAATGGGGCCATTACAGAAAATGAGTTATTATTAATAGAAATTCGGTCTAGTCTTGCAGCAGGAAAGTGCGTTATTGTGCACGAGGCAGTGAGGCCTGGGCCCCTAAACCTTACAATGGAGTATCTGGAAAAGCGTTATGGAATTCATGCCACTATGCCTGTGGATATACATGGTAATGTTTTAGACCTTCAATATTCTAATGTGATCATTGCTCATCATTGATACTCAGACATGGAGCTTCAGGCCAAACATCCTGCTCAACCTCATGTCCCTGGGGTGATGAGAGATTTGATTTTGGGCATAAATAATCAAAATGAGCACAGATATGTTCTGGATTGTCCTATAGCAGTAGGTCTGCCCCCTGAACTGGTGTAAGTTCCATTCAGTCTTCTCTGCATTTGCTGCTCATCCACACTCAGTCCCCTAGATGAGGGTCAGATGGCCTGGCACAGGACCATCAAGGATTGTCCATGGCCATGGCCATGGCCAGGTATACATCTCAGTACCCCATGTGCCTCAGTGTCCCAGGGTGGGGTACTGATTCCTCCATGCCATGACTCTAAGGGGCAGAATGCCTATTTCTTTCCAGTCATTGGCATCCAACTCCGGACACTTCTTTTTCCAAAGATCCCCCACGATGGTAAAGTGCCTTTTGAAGCAACAAAATTTCTCTGCAGCCCTCATGACCTGGATAATTATGATGCGGAGACTGTGACTGTATATCCTGGAGATTTGCTGTAAGCCTATGAATGGATGGTGTCCAGGATGGTTACCTCACAATTTACCCCCTTTGTAGAATCCAGCCACCAGGCCAACTACATGCAGAATACAATCCCAATCCTGTTTTGGCACATGGGGGTCATTTTTTCACATATGGAACACTCTATCACACGCACAGCTCAAGATCTCTGGAAGTCACTCCAGGCAACAACAGTCGAGCTCAAGAATGCACAGATGAGACCTTATGGCGGATGGCTGCTCTCATTCCATGGCTGCCACCAGACAAACTGTTAGGCAAGTGTATCTACAATAACACTTGCTCACTGCCATTAAATCTCTTGATTAAAAAGGCTTGCATGCCAAACCACTATTGGCGCTTTGTTCTATGGTTCTCAAGCCCAGAAAATATATGGGACAGAGCTTAGTAACAACATCCCGCAAGAAAAAACAACCCATAGCCTTACGATCATCCAGCTACACCCGTGCCTGTGCAGTTGTTACAAAGATTCTACAACACCTGGACATTTGTCCACAAGATTTGCCTGCTATGCTGAAAGACCTCACTTCATTTGAGGATATGGGAGAAGTCATTGATCTTAGCAGATGTCTCTCAGAATTTACCCATACAGTGTAACAGTAGGTAGCAGTGCAAATTCTGGTTGGAAACCAATGTCTGGTCTACCGAGCCAACATGAGCCATCATTGATGCCCAGTAAGAATCGGTCAGATGCCCTCACACGGAGAACGATGGGTTTGTAAGTTTGGAGTCGTCGATAGACTTAGGTTGATGGAAATCTAACTTGTGCAAACAAACACTCGACAACATGTTTGATTTGAGCTGATAAGGCTGTGATTCTGAACACAGATGCTGCGCAGCTCAACGTGTTCAATGAGTCTTGAGCGACGCAACTCGAAATTAATCCAAAGGCTCTCAAAGGTGCGTTTTTTCATTCACTGTGCAGTGGCTGCTGACGCCAGCTAATATCCTTGAAATTGAGATGATGATTTGGCGCCATCACAGTGTAACGGCTTCGATGACATACCAGGCAGCATGACAAATTGACAATACTTTGATATTCACTTCTCTGGATTTTGCCATCATCATGTCTTTCATGCTTGCAAATTATATTCATTCAGCACTCTTGCATCCTCACTTAAATCATACCAGCACCCCTTCTCCAAACTTATTGTCCAGTAACAGGGAAATTACGGATCCTTCCATTTCAGACACTCCATCTACATCAGATCTTGGTCAGTTATTTCTACTATCACTGGGTATATCACCACCATTGCATAATAATGTGAGTTTGTTGCTTCATTTTCATGTCCAAACATCATATATACACTGCGAACAGGGCACATATAGTCACTCTTTCGACTCTGTGTTTCAACTGCAAGCTCAGAACAAGCAATTAAAGCAATATGTAATTGCTCTAACTGCTTCTCATGATACTTATCAGTGATTTTTTGTTTCTGACAGTTGAATTTACTGATACATCATAAAATTCTTAGGACCGCTTTTTGAGCGGTATGTTTTTTCATTCTTCTTATCGTGGTCTAGTCCACTAATTGTAATACCTACTACTGCAGAGCTACGACATCAAGGCATCGAATCTGGTGAGTACCAATCTTATTCCCATTGTAAACTTATTTGTGGTGTTATATCCAGGTTCCTGACTGCATGTAGACTGCAAAAACGCTCGAAGTTCTCGTGAAGTTTGCCAGTGGCACACTGCATTAGCCAGGCCCTGGGTATTGTCAGCAGGTGGGTAGGGCAGAGAAGCTGGAGCAAACGAGCGTGCGGGTGGATATCCCAATTTCTGTAGCTTTTTGTTGCTTCGTTCCAGTCTAAATACATGGCTTTCCGTCATTTTGCATTGATACAATCTGAGAAGCAACATCAATTCAAATCTACGGAAATATAACTACTCAACGACTCGGATTTGTATACTGGTGTTGATCAGCTTTGCTACCAGTCATCTGGGTATCGATGGAACATGCCATTTGTCGAGACTCTCAGACATTCTACTGCACCACGTGTTCACAACAAGTTGTGGTGAATATGTGGTGCAGCAGAATGCATGAAGACTGTATGCAGAGGTACAACTCATATGCATAAACCCTGACCAAAGTGCTGTTATGATGTCATTTATGTAAAGTCAACACTCAAGTGATAGCATTCAAAGGGTTTTATAGTACAGTGACTTCATGGAAGATGAGATAGGATAGGATACAGTTAACTGTAGTCACGAACAAGCTGAATATCTAATTTCAAATGCAATACTTCAATACTTAAAAGGTGCTAATATCTGGATCATTCCCCTCCTCCTCCTCCTCCTCCTCCTCCTCCTCCTCCTCCTCATCACTTCCATCGTAATCAAATAATGAATTTGTCTCAGACTCATCATCATCTCCACTTTTTTCACTATCACCTGCAACTTCACCTTCGACTTCAGCATTCTTATGCTGGTGATCTAACTCATCTCTTGTCTGGGTCCAGATACTTGTGTTAGAACCGGAGGCCTCAGGGGAAGCCAAGGTCTTTTGTGGACCAACACTTATCTGATGCAGTGAGCATGAGTCATCTTCAGTATGTGTCCTGATTTAATCATACCTTGATAGGCCTGTTTGGTGGCTTTCTAGAATTCTTAGCCTTCGTAGAACGTCGATCAATCTGAGTCTTCTTTGTGTTTTTTGGTTTATTCCTCCTGGGATCACGTCCCTGCATTTGCATGACAGCTGCTCGAAAGTCTAGGGGTCTTTTGAGGACAGCAGGCCTCTTAGCAGTGCGCTTGCATGCTCCAATTCTTTGTATGCGGTAGAAACACGAGTTGGTCACTATCTTGATACTGTCATGACCAGAAGCTAGTGTCCAAGTAGAGCCAGGACTTTTGGTGGTGGGTTTGTTG